GGACTCTACTAGACGTGGTTTTCAGACATCCTAGAACCATTCTAAACATTGTGCTCTGATTACCAAGTTTTTCACATCCCAGGGATACCCCTAGACATAACATGGCATACAAGACCCCGAGAGGCCTAATATAAGCCATTTAGCTTTCACAACATAAGATAATAAAAATGAGCGGAAATTTAAAACATTTTTCAACCAACATCAAAGTTTTATATCAAAAGCAGAAGTCTATTACACTTTGTCTCAAACCATCTAAAACATGAATATCTTGGGATACAGCCCATACAATAGTGTTCAAAAAATAAAATGAAAGAACATAAGAGAAATGGTAGTCATATCCTCGAATACACTAAGGAATCACCAATCTTCAAGTCTTGCTCTACAAAGATCCTAGCCACAGGGATGAGAGTCGATACCGCCGGACCCTACATTTGGATAAGAAATGTAGGCAACAGTATGCATTAGTACATACATGTACTAAATATGATATCCAACATAAACATCAACATGAGCATAAGATATAAGAACATAAGTCATAAGAATAATCAATGCACATAAATCGTCATAAGATAGGAGGAATACTTCTTGAAGTAACCTCAACTTATCCTTAGTCAAGACTTGGGTCATCCACCTCTAGTCAAGTATATCATGGAAGGCAACTCAGGCAACAATCCAAACTCATCATTCATCAGATCGTAATCTAACTTATCTTATATAGACATGGGGAATCACCTATTTGCCTTACTACAAAGGAACATGGGTAGTCGCCTCTACTCCTAATATGAATCATGTTTACTCACCTCTAGACCAACTTACATATGGATCATGGGTACTTGCCTCTTGTCCAACTTAACATATGGATCATTGGTATTCGCCTCTTGTCCAACAACATGTGGCATGGGTATTTGCCTCTTGTCATTCGATAAGGATCATGGGTATTCGCCTCTTGTCCAATCATATCAAAAGAACATGGGGAGTCGCCTCTTGATTAACTTTAAGGAATAAGGCTTATCACATCTTTATTCTACTTGATGGAATACGGGTAACCGCCTCATATCCATCTCATTTGTAGGTCATGGGTGATCGCCTCTAGCCTCATCAATTTCATAGTCATTAGTATTAGATTCATTTTAAGTGAGCAAGCCTTTCAACCTAGAATCATTCAATGTGAGAAAGCCTTTCACATTTATAACATAAGCAATTCATGTGGGAACTATCCCTTACACAATCAATCACAACAATTGACAACATAAGGTTTACTCTCAAAGCACTATATCTCATAATCATTATATATGCTCAATCTCAAGCAATTCAACATCATATTCATATCATAAGCTTCAATCTCAAAAAATGTAATCATGATTCATCATATAGGCTTCAATTCTAATCTATCTCATTATTACTAGATTGAATACATCTAAATCCACAAATTATCATTTCATGGCATAAAACCATTTACATCAATTTCATCATTCTATACATGGGTTGGGCATGGTTTGGGCATGGGTACATGTATATTCCTCCTAAAAACATGTAATCCTATCAATTCAATCATAAACAATCATAATCCACTCAATTGAATCAACATTCACCAATACCCACAACATTGAAAGAAACCCTAACTCAAATTGGGGATTTAATCTTCTCAATTGGGGAAAACTTAGGAACTCCATGGATAGAATAAATCCATGGATGAAAAGCCATCATACCTTGATTACAAATCCCACAAATGCTTGAGGAATGGAGACTTGACCTTGATCCTAGCTCCAACGTTTTCTTCTTTTCCAAGTTAAAGAGAGAAATATTTGAGAGAAAGACTTTGGGATTTTTTTTGGGTTTTGGGAATAATGACTTGACATTTTGATATTTGCGTAATCAAGACACAACTTCCAATTCAAGTGTCTACAATCGTACAATAGTAATATAACCCAACAGAATGGGTTGGGGTCGAGTCCCAAGGGAGCGGTTCCTAAAAATTAATGGTTAAGTTCAAAAAATGCTAAAGTTAACTGTAGCAAAAAACATTATCAAGTATAAACATACTAAATCTAAACGGCATGACGCAAGCGTCAATTATCAATGGGATTTGTAGTCAAGTAACAACTAAAACTAGTAAAAAGATAAGAAAACGAGATAGAGAAACAGGATTCTTGGGATGTGATAGGAATACGGGATAAACTAAATTGTCGGGTACATGCTTTTGATAGTAAATTGTTGAGTATTTGTGATTAGGCTAGACTATAGTGGGGTAAATTCTCTCTCGAGCAACTTACCCCGAATCTACTTGGTTTCTCTCGAACACCGAGTTGCCGCTTTAAGCACAGCCTCCGCCTTAGCCCATTCACTCTCTCGAGCTGAATGTGTGGGAGAAGGACTAGAATTCACTCTCTCGAGCTGAACCCATGTCGACCCAATACCACTGGCTATCAATTTAGTAGTCTTAGTTTTACGACCTTTCTCTTGAGCAAGCCGAAAACACTAAGATGAAACCATATTTACAACTACAACTCTATTAAGTTCATACACAACTACTAAACGAAATAACATTTAAAAAACAAATAAACCATCAGCAAGAAAGACCCAACAGATAATCTAACCCATATTCACAAAATCACACCCCAAGAATTAGGATTTTAGCTAGACATGAAAAAGAGATAAAAATCGATACCAAAAGGTGTTACCATCAAATGGGTACGATAAAAAAAGTCTTTAAACACGTCAAGGATGAAGATTCTTGAAGACCCACTTCCAATTTCTTGGAAGTTGAAACCCTTTGAATCTTCAAGGCTCAAGAACAATGTCTCCAAAAATGTAAAAACTATTATATTCTAAAACTTATTTCTCTAATAGCTTGATTGATACTAAGCTACAGCTTTAAGCGGGTAATTATAGCTGTCAAAAAGTGTGCTGCGAAGGATCCACTCAGCGCAGTTAGTCGGGATCGCCGAACTACTCGACGATCCGCCCTTTGGTGTTGTACCTCGCTTTGTAGCTTTTGCCTTCAGCATCTTCGCGTTCTGAATCATTGGGCAATATGGTGATGCTTCGCAAAACTGCTCGACCATTCGCCGACAGCTCCCTTTCCTCGCAGACATGACCTTTTTCTTTAGGGCTAAGCACACTGGAACATTAGGCGAGGTTGCAGGCCTTTCGGCGACACGCCTAATGGATTAGGCAATCGTCAGGCCGTCTTTTCCTCCTTCTTTCAGCCACTTTGTTCCTTTTTGCTCGATAAAGTCCATGCTTTGTCTCTCAACTCAAATACCTGAAATTTAAGGATTTTCATCAGATATAGAGACAAAATATGCATTTAAGGACACTAATTCTATCAAAATATAGCCTAAATGAGTCCAAATTGTGGACTCATCAACACCCCAACTTAAACTTTTGCTTGTCCTCAATCAAACTAGAGTTCAGTTGTTCAAAAAGGGTGTCTCAAACATTGCTACACAAGAATAAATCATGAATGCACACAACAAGACTCACTTTACTCATTCAAAGATCAATTGTGCACTCAAAGATTCAAGTTGTTACTCACCATTATCAAAGAATCTCATGATCACAATACTTGCTTCAAATGCAAGTTCAAGCTCAACAAAAGTATTTGAATGCCCTCACACAAAGGATGATTCCATATTCACACACAAAGGTTTAATCATATAAAGCTTCGAAATCAAATGCAACACTCACACTCAAAAAGAAGAACACAATGCATGCTTTGACCTATAGGTTTGCCCGTATTTTCCAATCGACATTTGTTTCAGCTCACTCAAGATCAAAAAGGGATTTTCAAGGCTTGTAATGGGGCTAAGTGCAAAGGTATGGTCATTTAGGCTCAGTGACTTTCATCCTCATGAAATGTGGTGCTCATAACACTTCATTTTCTCTTCCTTCATCATTTTCTTTAGTGCTCATAAGTCATCATATTATTCACTTCCCATGGATTGTTTGGGAACCTCATTTCTTTTGTACTTTTCAACTTTATTCCACAACTTTTCTTTTTAATTTATTTTTTTCATCATTTTTTTATATGGAGGGGTTCCATTTTTCTTAACACCATGGGTTAAAGGAGACTTTCCTTGCACATGGGTCGTAGTGTTAATGGGAGTGATTATTTAACTGTTACAACACATTGGATTGATCATAACTGGAATTTGCAAAAAAGAATCTTAAGTTATAAAGAATGTGTAGAAAAAAAAAACTGGTGCATATTTAGCTTCAAATATTTTGAGTGTTCTAGATTATTACATGCTTATAGATAAAGCAATGTCTGTCGCATTAGATAATGCATCTAATAATATAAACGCTGCTAGTATGTTAAAAACTAGATTATGTCCAATTGATGATAATTCTTTTCATGTTAGATGTGTTGCACATGTATTAAATTTAGTTGTACAAGATGGTATTTCATTATTTAAATATGGTTGTATGAAAATTGAATATGTTGTTGCCTGGATTTTGTATTCTCAAAGAGCTTCTAGAATTAGGGAATTTAATGAGCGTTGTGTACTATGTGATTTGCCACCAAGAAAAATTCCAATACATTAAAACAAGGTGGAATTCTTTTTACGAAATGTTTTCAGTTGCTTACGAATATTAAAAGACCCATACAAATGGTGTTTAATGCTCATAATGCTGACCCATTAGAGAGAATTTGTGAAGAAGATTGGGAAAGAAACTAATGAACTATTATAATTTTTAAGACTTTTTATGATGCTATAATCATGTTTTCTGGAATTTATTATCCTACTTTTTCATCAGTATTAATAAATATTTGTGCTATTTCAATTCAATTTTCTAAATACAAAAAAATTGAAAAATTTAAAGTTGCAATTGAAGGTATGATTGAAAAAAAAATTAAATATTTTTTTCCTATTCCTCAAATTTTTTTAACTACTACTTTACTTCATCCTGACTATAAATTACGAGGTGTGCAGGGACTTGTTGACACTTTTTATGATACTTTACAAATTTTACCAGAAAAAAATCTAATTTGTGAAATGTGTAAGTCTAGCATAAAAGTAGAAGCAAAACTTTTGTATGAAAAATATATAACTACAGGAAATAATCAAGGAGAAGTTGGTCAAACTTCGAATCCTAAGAGTAAAGCTCGAATTTCAAGTTATATGCGAGGTTTTCTTGGTCTTAATTCTACTAACCGTGATGATTTTGAAGAATCTCTTAATCAATCTTTAGAAATAGTGGAAGACGGAGATGGCAATGAAGATTTATTAGCATGGTGGAGGAGGCGGAGCGTTGCATTTCCAATTTTGAGCAAAATGGTTCGTGATGTTCTAGGTATTCAAGCTTCATCAGTTGCATCAGAGGCTGCTTTTAGTGCGGCAAGGTTTCAACTTGGCGATCATAGACATTCATTGGCGGAAGACAGCTTGGAAATATCAGTTTTATTTAGAGACTGAGTCAACACTGAGAGGAGGAATTATAATTTGCCAAAGTTAAGTTCCAAACAAGAAGCTTGGATTAATGCAGTAATTGGATCTAGTGATGATGAATTAGAGTCACAAGAGTTTCTAGCAAGTTTGCCAACACCGGAGGATGTTACAGTCGATATGATGCGACAATTAGATTTGAATTTTAAAGGAGAATTCAAATATTAGATTACATCCGAGAACTAATTGAAACAGAACCCTTCCTAGAAGGTCGCTGCGTAAATTAGTTACTCATCTAATATTTGTAACAAATATTAGTTTTACATATGAGAACTTATTGAAACAGAACCCTTCCTAGAAGGTGGCTGCGTAAATTAGTTACTCATCTAATATTTGTAACAAGTATTAGTTTTACATATGAGAATTTATTGAAACAGAACCCCTCCTAGAAGGTGGCTGCGTAAATTAGTTACTCATCTAATATTTGTAACAAATATTAGTTTTACATATGAGAACTTATTGAAACAGAACCCTTCCTAGAAGGTGGCTGCGTAAATTAGTTACTCATCTAATATTTGTAACAAATATTAGTTTTACATATGAGAACTTATTAAAACAGAACCCTTCCTAGAAGGTGGCTGCGTAAATTAGTTACTCATCTAATATTTGTAACAAATATTAGTTTTACATATGAGAACTTATTAAAACAGAACCCTTCCTAGAAGGTGGCTGCGTAAATTAGTTACTCATCTAATATTTGTAACAAATATTAGTTTTACATATGAGAACTTATTAAAACAGAACCCTTCCTAGAAGGTGGCTGCGTAGATTAGTTAATCCACTAATATTTGTAAATTATAACTTCTAAGTTCTAAGTTGCAATTAGATTTTATTGAATAAATTTAAAGGCTTTATTAAGTCTTTTTTATATAACTATTGTCTTGCATTTTAATTTTAATGTTAAAATACTAACTTTAAAATACTTAATTTAAAAATCAAAATTTCAAGTTTAAATTACTTAAAAATATTTAAAATACAAATTTGAACTTCTCAAATTTGAAATTTGAAAATTGAAAATTGAAAATTGAAGTTTGAAATTTGAAAGTTGAATTTGAAATTTGAAATTTGAAATTTGAAGTTTGAAATTTGAAGTTTGAAATTGAAATTTGAATTTTGAATTTTGAAATTTGAAAACTTAAGCATTATTTATTAGCTAAAAATGTTATTAAAAACTAATTAACTAAAAAAACTAAAAATGCTATTCAATAACATATAATTTCAATACAAAAAAATAAACATATAAAAAAATAAAAATCCCACGTCCCGTCCCTTCCCGTCCCGCCAACTTCCGTCCCATCCCGTATATATAGTGGGACGGGATGGGACGAATTTTTATCCCCCCAATCCCGGTCCCCCTAAAATTCCGGCCAAGGAGTCCCCCGTCCCCCAGTCCCCGTCCCCGTCCCCTTGCCAACACTAGGTAGGCCACAAAAGAGGTATATGTCAAATTGGCTCACACTCTTAGAAGTTGCCTAAGATCATCTCAAAATATACCCTTACTTAGTCGACCGGACCAACGGGCCAAATTCTAGGTGTTGTCATGCATAGTTCACAGTAAACTCATCACATAAGGCATCGACACTAAAGTCAAACAAGACTTCACACTTTCGCTAGTGTGCAACGATCATCACAAGAGACTCAATTTAATAATTGGCTAGTCACAACGAGATGCAAAGAGTTCACATAATGTCTATGCAACATCACTTGGCCCTATCGTAGCCGCACATTCATGTTTGTTCGATTAAGAGCACTATTCAAGTCATAGATATTGATCAGAATCGATACTCAAATTTGCAAAAGAACAACCACATTCGACACAAAAGGGGTGGCAAAAAATTTCAGAAGAGTCAAAATCATTTTGCAATATAAAATACGAATCCACAAGCTTAATCATCCACAAAAGCGCAGTATTAACACAATTAATTTCAACCCAAATATATAAACAAAACAAATATACACAAAGGTGGCCTCACCCCACCCCAAACAAAAATCATTTGTCCTTAAATACGAATAAAAGTATCCAAAAGTAGAAGTAAGTACGACAGAGAGGGAGGTAAAGAAAGGATCATATCTGTGTAGTCTCTCCATCTGTCTGGGCCTTAGTTCCCGGTGTGGTACTCTGAATATGGGTATCAGTGCCCGGAGTAACCTCAAGAAGAATAGCAGTGCCAGATCCACTAGGAGTTGTTGTGGACGTCTCAGTCGGCAATGTCTGGATCACCGGCTGCACAACAGTCTCCACAAGATCTGGAAAATCTCTAAATATGCTCTCCTCTCGGCTCTCTCGTATCTCATCATCATGTACCGCTATCTGCTCTTCGTCGGTCTCTACATCCGACTTCTCATTTGTTGTGCCATCCCTCTGTACTACTACGATGGTAGCCGGAGGAATCCCCGAGGTCTCAGGAGCATCCTCGTCATCTGCACCCTGAATTAATAAAGTGAAGTAGGTAGACTTCAAATAGTCTGCGTCCTTCCTCAAATATGCTATTTTGTCTTTCAAAGCCAAAACCTCAGATGTCTTCCTCTGTCTGCTCTCACAAACAGTGACTCTAGTAGCCAGATCATCAACAAAGACCATAATGGGGGTCAGTGCCACCAACATAGCACCCTCAATCATCCCTGGGATGGATATCTCTAATCGAGTTGCCCTCACATCCGCTGAATAGGCCAGATTCCCTATTTTCAGGATCATGGCCTGAGTAATCCTAACAGGCTGGGAGGAGAAGGAAGCACCTGGAACCTGTGAAGAAGAGGAAGGAGTGGGTGTACCTGAAGGCTTAGAGGCCGAGGTAGGTGAAGATTCCTCTACATGTAATGAGTCAACATCAACATCCAGAGAAATATCTGGCAGAACTGCTCTCCTCCCATCAACCTCATCTCGTATGTACTCGGCCTCAATACGCCGAATGTCAGTGGAAGATGAATGGGTGACCTCAATATCCCTTGCAGTGTCCCGAGGTACTCCAGCACGCTGGCACAGCTCAGTGATCAGGACTGGGAATGGCAGAGAAGTCTGCTTCTGTTTGGCTTTCATGGCCATCTACTGTGAAATCAGCAATCCCAGATCGATGCGTCTCCTAGACATGACAGAGCCAATGCAAGCTGCTTTCGGATGGCGCAAAATGGACTCATTTTGGATGGCATTAAGGTGTTGCTGATAAAGCCAAACCAGAACCTAGCAGCAATACTCAAGTCCATCTTCTCAATAGGAGGAACATCTATCCACCTCGGGGTGGTGTCAGAAATCAGAGGATCCAACCAACCCTTCAAGTCATCTAGGGACTGAGCAATAGGAAACCCCTCGTAAGGAAGTGCAGAGTGCAGTGGTCTATTCATAACAGTGTTAATATATTCACTGCCGCACCCCACTTCTTTGCCTCTAACCATGACCGACTTCACCGGTATGAATTTACTTGCCTTCTTCTTTGTTTTGGGCACCAACTCCCCATAAGTTGTATAGAATTACTGGACCCAGAAAGGAATGTAAGGGTATCGGGGTCTGGTGAACTACTCAAACTAATGGTAGTGGATGGTGCCCCTGACTCCGGGGTACTTGCCGTGCAGGCCCTCTGTAGATAACAGCTTCTCCTCTAGGATGGTCCGTACCCCATCTTCTTTCAATTTGTTCAGCAATTGAGGTGGAGGAGCGATAGGGAGTGCAGGGGTCACTGGAGGTGCCTGAGCTGGCACTGAACCTGTTTCAAGAGGCGTGGCAGCTGAGGGAACTCTGGTGGGCGATGATTGAGATCTAGCCTGGTGTTTATTCCTTCGGTGAATCAAAAGCTCCTCATCTTCCAGTTCAGAAAAATCTTCCCGGGTGTCAGCAGCTACTTTCCTAGCTATGTGCTTCTTTCTTTTGCCTTTGTCTCCTAGTTGGAGTTCTTGCCTTCTCTGCTGTGGGAGATTTGATCCCCCTTCGTTTATATTAATGCCATGTGTTGTTTTCTTGGATGGCATGGTTAGATTTGTATGTGCCATATCTGCAAAAGATTGGGAGAGATTATGAGAAAATCAAGCCTAAGCATAGAAAATCTATTGCAGACAGACTCGCCGATCCAGTCGGTGAGTCGCCGAACCTCTTTGGTTAGCTAGATCGGGCTCGCCGAAGGGATTGGCTCAAAAATTATGGCAAGTCGGTGATGGGAAGGCCCTTTCGGCGAATCGCCAACTACTTTCGATGAGCAAGGGTTTGTCCGCACAATCCAATAAAAAGGGTGTCACCTTTTCTATCATTAAGTAATATACGTCATTTAGCGCAAACACGGGCTACTTAGACTTCACCCAATCAATCTATACAACATGCAAGCACAACCCAATAAAATTTCAATTATTTAAAAATGGAAAAATTACGGGCATTCGATGATCAAAGCAATATGGGCAAAAATTTTAAATTAAAATCGGCATTAAGACAATCTGTTCTTATCAGAGAGGCCCAGCACACATCACTAGGCGGCATAGAAATCCTAGTTTCGAGCATAAATCAACAAACAAATACTAACGAAAAGCAAGAATATTGAGAATTGGTGTGAGTTTGTGAAGTTTAAAAGCGAGGGAAAGCGCAGAGTTTGAAACTTTTAAAACCTTTGGCCATATATAACCGTCCAGTTCGCGACCATTCGGTGACATTAGTCGCGTTCACCGATCCACTCAATGAAGCACCGAATGGTCACTTACCCCATTGATTTCTACAGGACCTGCACTTTCTTGGGGGTTAAGATGGTGGTCTTAATCGTGGTCACCGACCTGGTCAGTGACTCGCCGAACTGCTCTTGAGCTCGCCGAGTTTTATAGGCTCTGAGTTGAAATTGTGTTGAGCCAAATGGCGAATCAAGTCGGGAACGCTGACCTCTTCGACGATACGCCGACTGGACCATTTGCTTGCCAATCTGCATTTTCCAAACACTTTCCGCAATTAAACATGCACAACCAACACACCATTATTTACAAAAACAAAACTAAAGCATTTA